GCTGATGTTTGATATGCAAATTTTACCTTAATTTAAAAAGTTGTAGCCTGTATTGAACTATCCTGTAGGTGTTTTTTGTTTCGAAGCATGACACTACCAAACGAGTTTTGACTGAAAAAAGTTCAGCCTGCTAAAGACTGGTAATGCTAATAGGACAGAATTATATCGGTTTATGTGGATCCAAAGAGCATAATACTTTTATCAGAATGGTTACTGTTAGTATTTCTAGAAAACATTTGTATCGATGTAGAAAACTGAATCAAAAAGATATAGTTATTGATTGAGTACTTGAGGTTGATCCAAAGATGGTTTATTTCACTACTTAAATTTAATTATGCTCAAAGTTTAGAGTCGCAGTATTACATTATAGAAAAGCAATGAAAAGGGGATAAAATCATCTAGCTAATATATGCCAACTTTAGGTAAAACACTGATGATATGATCAATTTCAATATCACAGCTACAAGCATTACAGTGAACATGCATATCTCCATCTTCATCTTCACTATCATGAGGCCAACCATTCCTGTGAATGCGTTGATGCTGAATTGTGCAACGATTGGGTCTTTGTTCCAACACTATAGGATTTTTCACCCAAATATGTGTCAAGATTTCGATTAACTTCTTTCGACACTCCCTTGTTATCTTCCTTAGTTGCTTTGTATTTTTCATGTTGCCAATCAACTTTACTCCTTTTTGCTTAAATTCACCCCCTATAAAGACCATAATTATGCCAATCACATAGAATGCTCCAATGTGACCTCCTTTTGCTGCTCTTTTCAGAAATTCACTTGCAAGTTCTGGCTGATCATCTTTAAAGAAATCCATCTGAAAATAGAAAAAGCACATTTAGGAGTCTTAGTACCAATCTCAATGAAAAAATCTATCATTGAAAAGTTATCTTTAAATATATGTTGGATATGAAGTGTACATAAAATTAATTCTTACCACGCCCTTTCTATATAAAGCTTCTGGATTCCCACATTCTCTGCACAACTCCAAGAATGAAGTGACTTTGTTTATCTTCTCTTGATTTTCCTTCTCCCACGAAGGTTCTATTGAAAACTCTGCCAATGTTGCATTCTGATATACGTATCGTTCATTTGCAACTTCATGAAAAACCTTGCAACTAGAATATCAATGAATTAGAGAAAACAACAATTGCTCATCGCAGAAAGATCTATAGAATTATGAGATACATACATAGATAAATAAGTATATACTTTAGCTTAGCATTGATATAATTCTTAAAAGAAGTAGAAGCAATCTTTGCAACAATTTCCGTAAGTAACTCCTTAGGAAGTGATTCAATGGTAGAAGAAAATTCCTCTTTCATGATGAGTTTGTTATTTTTTGCTCCTCTAATTTTTGTAATTTTTTTTGAAAGACGGCTAATCACCATTTTAATTTGCTAATTGGGATCAACAACGAAGGGAGTAATTACTGCAGTCAACTAATGCAATTGAGTTATGTCTAATTTATCTTTATTTATTGTTGAGTTTCTGTTTCTTCAAGTTTTTCTTCTTTGAATGGGATTTGAATTTTTTTTTTAAATCCTAAATCCAAAAAGGAAAACTTTTACAAATATTTTTTTCTTATAGAGGTGAAAGTAGGAAAAGTGTGTTCGGTACTAGGATTCCTTTTCCTATGTGTGGTTGGATTATTGATTTCTATAAAATATTTCAGAAGGACTGTTTTTAGAAACTTTTAAAAATTAAAATCATTTAATTAAGTTAATTATTAAAAATATAACTTACATAAATTTCATAGTGTAAAGAGTAAATTACATGTTATTTCTATTTTTTTTTCTCATTGCGATAATCCTCTCGTAGTGTAAAGAGTATAGTATAAAGAGTAAATTACATTTTATTCCTATTTTTTTTTCTCATTGCAATAATCCTTAAAATATGTACCTTCCCGATTCATAAATCACCATTCGGGTACATTAATTCATCATCTAGATACATTGATTCTAATACAAGAAGAATTTTTTTGTTGCGCTAAAAAAGGAATACAATCTGAAAATCTAATTAAATTTTATAAATTTACACTTACATTTCTTGTTACTCTCAATGATACAGAGGCAAATCCTCATGGAACAAAGAAATTTAAAATTTCTAATTGCTCCCCTTGTTTAATGAAGAAACCTTTCAAACTTGATTCAAAAACTTTTGTTGAAATTTTGAGTAAGCAAAGTGAGTCATGAATAATACAACAGTGATGGAATTGTTGTTGGACAAACATTTTCCTTTTGTTATCACAATGAGAAAAAAAAATAGAAATAACATGTAATTTACTCTTTACACTATGAAATTTATGTAAGTTATATTTTTAATAATTAAATTAATTAAATTATTTTAATTTTTAAAAGTTTCTAAAAACAGTCCATCTGAAATATTTTATAGAAATCAATAATCCAACCACACATAGGAAAAGGAATCCTAGTACCGAACACACTTTTCCTACTTTCACCTCTATAAGAAAAAAAATATTTGTAAAAGTTTTCCTTTTTGAATTTAGGATTTAAAAAAAAATCCAAATCCCATTCAAAGAAGAAAAACTTAAAGAAACAGAAACTCAACAATAAATAAAGATAAATTAGACATAACCCAATTGCATTAGTTGACTGCAGTAATTACTCCCTTCGTTGTTGATCCCAATTAGCAAATTAAAATGGTGATTAGCCGTCTTTTACAAAAAATTACGAAAATCAGAGGAGCAAAAAATAAAGAAATGGATATATATTATTAATGATATATTGTTATTTCTAAAATAATTAGTAATATGCTAAGTAGTGTAATCATACCATATACATTAAAGTAGTAAAGATTGTCCATAAGATTGCCCATAAGGTGTTTAATTTTCATCGAACAATTCAAAATCTTTCTCCCATTTCCCCAAAAAATCTCTCAATTTTTGAATCTAACTTGTCAAAAAATTGTACCAATACATCATGAACTTGTTGTGACATTTTGGAATCTAAGAATGTGAGGGGAGGTAGGAACGATACTAAAGTGATGAAATTGTTATTGTCAGAATGTCAATTTTGTGAATCTCAAATCAGTCATTGCGACTAAATTAGAGTTCGATGATTTGAGGAAGAATTTATAAATCAGATACATTGTTGAGGTGAAGAAATACGAGTCTAGATTTTTAGTGTATTCGCTATGCATTGATAGAACATACAAAAAGATAAAAGAGATACATAGCTCTGATAGATTATTCATACCTTTTATGATGTTATGTTATCGTTTTTTGAATTGTATTTTCTAGATGGATAGATTTGTCAATGCATTACTATTTATGTATATCGTTTAAATTGCTAAATATTTTATTTATACTAGATATATTAAGTAAGTAATTGTTGTTCATAAGACGTTAGATTTGAGATCGATATACTATTGTGTGGTAGTTTCTTTGTAATTGATACATTTAGTAGTTCGAATTTCACGTACCGTATCTAAAAAAGGGGAAAAGGGTCAAAAATACCCCTCAACTTGAGTTTATTAGTTGACTTTGCCCTTGCCGCTAAACTAAAGTTAATTTTACCCTTATCGTTAATTTTTCCTAGATAGTCATTCATGTTTGAAAAATTACTTAGAAATATAACTTATCTTTGTTTTAGGACTACAATATCACCCAACCCAACTTTGACTATTTTTCTCAAAATATACTTGATACAAAATAATACATTATTTCTTTCCTACTAGGATGCCATGGCATCACAATAGGAGAGAAATAATGTATTTTTGGTGTCAAGTATAGTTTGAAGAAAATAGATAAAGTTTGTGATATTGTAGTCCTAAAACAAAAATAAGTGATATTTCTAGATAATTTTCCAAACATGAGTAACTATTTAGGGAAATTACTCTAAATTTTTCATCAACAATATGCTTCATCACATAATCCATTAGCTTAATCATTTCTTAAAACTATTATTTCAAAAAAAAAAATAGTTTTAAGAAATGATATAGTTAGCAAGTGGGAAGTTCTAGCAACTGAAATTAATTTTGTCCATGATTAACACTTACACTTTATTCTGATCATTGTTTAACCATTGTTTCATAATATATTGTACTGTATTATACTTTATTCTATTGTGTTGTATGATAGATACAATGTTTGGTTAACTGTATTGTTTGTTGTTATTTAATAATATTTTAATTGTTTGATTTGATTGTGTTGTATTGTAATTTATAAATTTACTAAAATATACTTAATTATTCTAGGATAGGATGTTTGACTAGATTTAAGTAATTAAGGGTAAGGGTAAAATAGTATTTTTGTAATATTAAGTAAAAATATAATTGAAAAAAGAAACTAAGTAACAATGGGAACACACCAAATCGGTTAAATAATTAAGGTTAAGGGTAAAATAGTATTTTTATAATATTATGTAAAGATATAATTGAAAAAAGAAATTAAGTAACAATAGGAACACCCCAAATCGGTTGTTCCATAAAGTAGGGATTTTCATTATTAAGTAACAACAAAATTTAACAATACAATATAATATATTTTAAGTAACAATCAAAACAAACATTATAGGTATAGTACAATATAATATAATAAATAACAATGATCCAAACATAGTGTAAGAGACCATTCTTAAAGGCGTAAAAAAGGGTGAAAGAGACGTATAGATGTTTCTGTTGTCTAATTCAGAACAAACCCAATAACGAGGAGATTTTTTTATTAAATGAAAATTCTATCAAATTTTACCATTGTTAAACCAAAACAATGCCTTTTGAGAAATAAAATTGAAGTCCGTATCACATGAAGCGTAGTAAATTAAGGAACAAATTATGTGGCAACTAAAAACAATCTTTTTGTTTCCATCCACCTAATCCACATGTTTCCGTCATATTTAAATCTTTTGGATTCATTCCATATGGTAATTCCCACTCAAAGTGAATAAAGTAACTGAGCTAGAGGAAGTTCAATATTAGTTAAACCAAATAGCATTCCTGGACACATTCTTCTTCCGGCACCAAATGGAATAAATTCAAAATGATTTTCCATAAAATCAAATCTCTCTGGTATAAAACTTTCAGGATTTTTATTTATTAAAACCTTAGTTTTAAGAGGTATGGTATATCCATCAACATTTGTTTGCATCTCTAGGTCCTAGAAGAGGAGCTGGTGTATGTAATCTTAATGTCTCCTTAATCACTAATTTTAGGTATGTCAATTTTTCCAAATCTTCTTCATCATCATAATTTTTCTTTCCCCTAAACACTTCTCTCACTTCCGCCATAATATTTGGATTTTTCATCATTTACCCAAATAGTAACTGTAGATGAAGTGTCACTTTCAGCAATAAAAACATCCTACATCAAATAAATAAAATTAGTAAAATTAAATTCGTACACTAGTTAAAATATGAAATTTGGGTACTAAATATTAAGGAAAAATTGTTGAAGGAGTCTCGATAACTTAATGAAATTATTTTTAGCTATATCCATACTATTAATAAAAAAAAATTAAAAAATCAATCTACTCTTATTAAATAAACAATAGAAATAACTTAGTAAACCAGATTATTTTTTGAATAAGCATGAAAATAAGAAGTTAAGCAATCCTTGAAATAAAGGAAAAATTACATGAATAAACAAATATATACTAGTTAATTAGCTAACATAGTTATAGTTTGAATTAATTACCACTCACAACCTCTTTTTAGCTCTAATTAGGGGTGCCGCTCTCCTCTCTTCCTCTCTTCCTCTCTCTCACCACTTTCCCCTCTTATACATATACACATTCAAATTATACAAATATAAAGTCTACACACATACATACATACATACATACATACATGCATGCATACATACATACATATATATATATAATTTGTATCTTTCCACTCTTAGCCCTCTCTCACTCGTCTCTCTCCTCCCTCTTCCAATTTTGCTTGCCTCCTCTCCGAATCTCGCTCGTCGATATACAGATTCATATGTATACAGGTTACATGTATGCAATTATGTGACATATATACAAATATAATTCATCTCTCTTTACTCTCTCTCACCTCTCTTCTCCCTCTCACAATTTCGCCTCTCTCCTCCCTCTAATTAGCATGTTGCTACAACTCATAATTAGCAAACTACGCCTAAATAAGTTCTTTTTAGTGGCTAACTGCAAAATTTCCACAAAAAATAAAGGAGAGAGGGAGAAGATTATGAGATGAAACAACCCAAACTTACAAGAATCACAGCTTTAATGTGGTCATTTGTGATTGGACATTCAAGTTCAGCGTCCTCCATAAGGTTAAGTAAAACATCAACAAGATCTTCACCTCCAAGTTGATCACCAATTCTCTTATTTCTATTTGCTTTATTTTCAAGATGCTCCTTTAAGATGTCTTCCATAATTTCATCAATCTTTTTATGAACATTCATCAATCTAGATTCCGCGCCACTCAGTTTGTGAAGTAATTTCCAAGAAGGAAACAAATCAGTCACATAAAATCCTGACGCTAATATCAATATATCCTTCAACAATTTTATAAACTCATCTCGATCTTTGAACATCTTCCCAAATGCTGCACTACAAGTGACAGAATTGGTAAACCAAAATATTTTTTCTGTCATGTTAACTGGAGAACCCTTTGTTGAACGAATCGATGAAATGAGACTTGAAATCTCATCTTTACGAATCGTACTAAAGGACTTGACCATCTTTGTACTAAAAAGTTGGTACCTTACAAATTTTACGCATTTGTTTGCAGTAATTATCATATAGACTAAATACAATATCTTTATTATTATAAAATAGGATGGTTGTGGACGTAGATTGTGGCCTATCAGAAAAGGCGAGATCATGAGTTGTTAGAAGTTGTTTTGCAATAGTAGATGATGATACGATCACAACAGGAATTTCTCCAATTTGTAAGTACATAACACCCCCATACCTTTGTGCTAAATTTCTAAGAGTAGGATGCAAAAATCCTCTTCCAATCAAGTGATGAAGACTTCAAATAAAAGGAAGTCTCCATGGACCTGGAGGCAACCTTGTTTCTTTTTTTTTTTGTTTTTACTAACTAGAATGAAATACAAGAAGAAGATAACTAAAGAAACTATAGTAAAAAGGGAAGAGTACATTTTCACTAAAGAAACAATTCTTTTTTTTTTTATGAATGTTGCTTTTACTAATTTTAGCTGCTTTTATAGAGCTTCTCCAATGAGTACTTAATTAATAATTTTAGGATGTAACTGTTAAAAGTCTCTTCAAATTTGGCACACTTAATTATATGCACACCTAAATTATGTCAAGTCTTAATTATTATTCCAAATCAAATATGGATTTTTCGGAACTATTTAACCCCTATATAATCTTCGTTATTCTTTCAAATATTGATTTTTAAAATAAAATTTACATATTTAAAAATCATATAAAATACTGTAACTAAATTAAAATAATTAATAATTCAAATTATTTAAAAGATTACTTGAGAATTTCAAAGTCTGAAAAAATACCTAATAAGTTAAAACAAGTAAATTAAATTTTTTACATAAAATCTTTAACTTAAAGTTTATTGCACAAAATATTGATCCTTAAAGTTGGCCAATAAATTGGATAAAAAGAAGTAATGTCATGGACACGTTGGTGGGTTTACATTTCACTTCCAATCACTATTTTTAATAACCCACATGTCTAATCTAGGGATGGCTTATCTAGGGATGGATTAAATATAGGGCATCTTTCACGTGTAGCAAATAAAAAATTTATATTTGTATGCATAACAAAGTTTGTATAATTGCGGTCCATAGCAAACATAGAAACTGTATAATTTGCTATACGTATATAGTTGAAGCAAATTGTATAAAACAAGAAAGAGAAAGACACTTGGGCAGAGAACTGTATTAAAACGAATTGTATTATTATAAGTGTATAGAACGATTATATACAATTTGAATTTGTATAAAATGAGAAAGAGAGAAAGACAAAATAGACTTGACAAGGAATATACAATTTAATCGAATTGTATAAAACGAAAAAAGAGAGAAATTAGATACAATTTGAAAATTGTATAATACGAGAAAGAGAAAAAGACAAAAGAAACTGGGCAGGGCAATATTTTTATTGTATAATTATAAGTGTATAGGACGAAAATAAATGTACTTGCATGCGTATATACAATTTTCTCACGCTTTATACAAACAGAAAGACAATTTATACATTTCGCTTCTGTTTGTATAAGTGAGAAAGGCGAGGGTGGCGAGCGAGATTTAGGAGAGTGGCGAGCGAGATCTGGAAGAGGGGAACAAAAATATATGTATTTATACAATTTTCTCTGCTTTATACAATTAGAAACAATTTTTATACACTTGTGTTTGTATAAAAAGTGAGGAAGAGAGAGAGATTGGAGGAAAGTGGCGAGCAGGATATTTGAGAGAGACACAATTAAATCAAACACTAGCTACTCTATTTATTTTAGGTTATTAGTTTGCTATTATATGCAATTTTCCTTCGGTATATTTGTGAACCAAAGCATCAAATGGAAACTTTAAATTATTTATATTCTTTTATGAAATTATTATATCCAATTCATTTAATTTTATTAAAATATAATATATTAGATATGAAAACTTTTCCAAATAATTCTTTTCTTTTTATATGAAAACTTTAAGTTTTCTACAAATAATATTCAAAGTATTTTTTTAAAAAAAATTTAATCTAAAGTCTATTGTTGATAAAGAAAACGAAGTCCCTCAAATATGGGGATCTAAGACATTTACTTTCTTTCTAGAGTCAGTCATGGCCTAATCCATTGAATTTTCTCTGTGTAAAGCAACTCTAAGCTAGCGTTTGGTCACACATTGTTAAATATTTTTGACAAATATTAGTTGGATGAAATTTCATCATGTGTTTGGTTATAATATTTAGAAAATATATTTCACTTTTTTAGAAAAATATAATTTATACCATAAGTTTTAAAAACTATCAAAACTAACTATAAGTTTGTATTACAAGTCAATTGAATCTTCGTTGCAACAAATAACAAGGAGTATCCACGATACTAGAGCAATGAGGTAGTTTGGATTGAGTGCAAGAAGTATCATTTCATACATCGTGAAGTAGACAAAGCACATGACTTTGTTACCATGAGCAGATTGTTCATCATTAACATCAACAACCATATCTTCACTTTCATATTCACTGAATATTTTATCACTACTTTGGTGTTCACGTAAAAAAATATGTAATACAACGCAAATACTATTATAGAGGGTGTTTTTGTACAAGATAAAAGTTTGATGTAAATTTTCAATTGTTAAAAGATCCCAAATAATGAGATATGGTCCAATACTAGACAAAACTAGTATTTAGGAATTTGAAATATTTGACAAATAATGACAATTGTATGGACAAACACTATTTGCCAAATTTTTCCACAAATGTTATTTGAAAAATCTATTGGGAAAAATGTGTATAATAACAAACTATTAATTCAAATTAACTATTATAATAATAGTTTGATTTTTAATTGTACCCCATACCAAACTGTTGTTATTTCGCCTCTCTCTTGGTGAATCTCACTCGTCACTCTCGTTCTCTCCATCACTTCTCTCGCTTTTATGCAAACGTAAATGTATAAAATGTGTTTGTGTTTGTATAAAGTAAGAGAAAATTATATATATATATATATATATATATATATATATATATATATATATATATATATATATATATATTCATTCCACTCTCTCCCCTCTCCCAAATCTCGCTTGCCACTCTCTCTGCTCTTGTTCGCTCACTCGCCTCTCTCACTTCATACAAAAACACAAATATATATAAATGTGTTTGTGTTTGTATAAAATAAGAAAAAATTGTATGTATACACATATTTTTCGTCCCCTCCTCTCGAGATCTCGCTCTCTCACTTTATACAAACTCAAATGTAATTGTGTTTGTGTTTATATAAAGCGAGAGAAGATTTTATTATACAAATACAAATGCATATATTTTCGTCTTATACACTTCTGATTATACAAATACGACTTTCCCCTATCTAATTCTCTTTTATCTTTCTCTCTTTCTCACTGTATACAAACACATATAGTTGATCTTTTGTATATGTATATTAAAGCAAATTATACAATTACTTTCTTTTGTATATATATAACGAAATATACATATTATTTTATGTTACTATGGAGCGCAATATGCAAACTATAATTATAGCATACAAATATGATTTTTATGTTTGCTATATGTGAAAGTTACTCAAATCTATGGCCAAACGAGCCCAAGAATGAGACAATGAGTTTGTGATTGTAAGAGCTTCTTCAAAAATCTCTACCTCTATAATATTCTTCTTAGGTTTAATGCATCATACAAACTTAATAATTAATCGTGAACATCATAAGTAAGAATTTCCTTAAATTTTAATTATTGGATATTAAATTGTCTGAACACATCTTATTAAATATCTTATTTATATTCTGATAGAAGAAAGTAGCAATTAAAATCTACTTACATATCAAAATATATTGTGAAAAAAGATATATGTATGCTTCATTTTAAAATAAGAATATTTTTATCTTGACATATTCTCTTAAGAAACTAATAGTTCTTAGTGTGCTTTTGTATACTAACTTACCCCTAATGAAAGAAAGGTTAACTAATGGTTATTGATCAGAGAAGTAAATATGTGTTGCGCTTTTTTTTTTAATCAATATTTTATTCTATTGAATTTTATTTAGTGAGATTTAATGAGGCAATAAATAATGAATATTACTATGATTTTTCTTTCACTATTATTTTTCTTTTATATAGATATCCAAGGAAAAGTGTTATAAAATGAATGTCCACATTGGTATATTATGTGTTGTAAGATAAATATAAACACAATATGTATTAAGTGTTGTATACTTGTTGACCATGTAATATACTTGATGTCCAAAGTATATACACGGCAATAGATATTCATGTATCACACTTGATGCCCATATACATACAGCCTCCTCTTCTTGTAACAACGGAGAATCAAGAACAAGTAAAATTAAAGTATTAAACATACTATTTCTCATCCACCTATCTTGTTATCTTAGCAATAACACTTATTTTATAACAATCGTGTAATTGTTTCTCTTTGTGCAAATACCATGGGTTCTCGTATTGGAGTTTAAGTGGTCTCGTGGGCTTTAGCAGTCCATAGCTTCGTAAGACTTATGGGCTAGACATCACACACAATTCCTATGGGCTATCAAGTAGTTCCTGAAAATAAAAAATTGTATGTATAAGATATAAAATTATGAATACTCATTTTATTAAGGGCAACTTTCACATATAGCAAACAAAAAATTCATATTTGTATATTATAGCAAAGTTTGCATAATTGCGCTCCATAGCAAACATAAAACTGTATAATTCGCTTTTACATATACAATTGTATAATTCGCTGGCCTATTTCGCTGTAATTGTATAATTTGCTTTGCATACAGTTGAATCGAATTAAAATGTATGTATATTGCATAATTATAAGTGTATAGCAAGAAGACATATGTTTTTCTCGCTTTATACAAAAACAGAAACACAATATATACACTTCTGTTGTATAAAGCTAGAGAAAATTGTATTTCACTGCAATTGTATAATTCGTTGGCCTTTTTCTCTGCAATATTTGAAGTAAAATGTTTGTAAATTGTATAATTAAGTGTATAACACGAAGATATACATTTTTGCATGTGTATATACAATTTTCTCTCGCTTTATACAAAACAGAAACAGAATTATACACTTCTGTGTATAAAGCGAGAGATGCGAGCGAGAATGGAGAGTGGCGAGCGAGATTTTTGGGAGAGAGACGCTGGCAAATTTTAGCTAATGTTTGCTATGGAGCACAATTAAATCAAATCCTAGCTATTCCAGTTAATTTAGGTTATTAGTTTGCTATTATATACAATTTTTCCTTTTATAAATTGATTACGAATTAAAAAGTTAAAACTTAATTCTAATACTATTGTTCTTTTAAGAACTTTTAATATTATAAAATATAAAAAATATTGCTAACAAGAAGGAGTTATTTAGTGTGACGCCATAAGATATAATTTTATCCTGTGTTTGGATGAAGGTATGGGGTATTCATTATAGTGATAAAATATGTTATCTTATTTGCATGGTGAGGTAACTTATTTCTAGATAGTTAATCTCATGATAATTTATTCTCAATCAAACGAATTAGAATAGGTTTCTGTATATATAGTACTTTTACTGTAGCGATGGATCCAGAATTTCTATTTAGGGGTTCAGATAGTACCTAAAATTTGATCT